CCTGCCCCACCCCGCCACGGGCCGTGCTGAGCCGGTCAAGTTCAAGGCTGCAATACACAGCGAAGCGGAGAGCCGAATGGGCGCAGAGAGTGATTGTTGTATTGCATATTACACCCGTGATGGTCCAGGCCGCAGGCTATGTAGGCCAGATCAATGTGCCCGGAGAGATGGAGGTTTCAAGTAGGCAAGACACATTTTTGTGATCTGCATCACATATGATTTGGGGGGGGGGGGCTGCACTCACCTGGTGGGAAGAGATTAGTGTCCTACAGCTGTATGCTTATAAGTGCCATGAATCCAAATCGACACCCTCAACACGCCCGTGCCGCAATCAAAGAGAGATGTAAATGTAGAATCCCTGGCCTGGGGTAGATTTTTCGTAGGAGGGCGGGGGGATAAAACGAAAGGGTTTTCCAAGTAAACCCTTTGGCCTTCCCACAGCCGTGTCCAGCAGTGCCCATTCTCGTGGGACCGAGGCGGGGCAGAACAGATCGCCATTTCACTTTCGATCCATCGAACAGTGGCGCGCCTCGCCAGGCCGTGCCGCGTCTTGCCCGGCACTTGTTGTACCAGGCCCCTCCTTATTACCCGCTCTGCCACTCTGCTCACTTTGTCTTTGAGCGATACCGAGGGATGTGGATGTAATTGCTGCTCACCGCGAAGCCTGACCATAGCTCGATGCGGCATGCCCGAGTAAATTATACCAGCTCCTCCGATTAATGTAACAATTTTAATGGGATAGAAAATTTATCTGTAGCTCGTAAGTAAATGTGTAACTCACTGGTATGCAAAAGATATCATCCAGGAATTCCACCCGTCCTTCACCCTGAACGAATCTTCCAAGTTTAGACTCTCTGCAAGTTCTTGGGTTCTGAGTGCCTGGTAGGTAGGCAACATCGCACATGCTGTGCGTGCGTGTACTGCGGGGTGGCCTACCCTGAGTATCGCAGGCGCCGGGCTCCTGTGTTTTCCCGACTGAATTTGGGGGGAAAGGACGTTTATCCTGGACGATATCTTAGCCCGCAGGACGCAGGTGATATCCGGTCATGAAGATTCAAAATAGGTGGACTTAGAAGAGTACACAACCCAGCAAAATTTGATGTTTTTTTTTACCCATCTTTAATTATGTTCAACCCGTCGTTGCACACTAAATTTGAAATGACCCCATGGATGAAGCCGGAGGAAGCTGCCAAAAACATGTAAACTGAAGGGATCCAACGACTTCCCCGACATTTTTGCCATCGCCGTCCATGGAATCGCCATAGAGCCCACGTGAATCTTTGACTGTACAGACACCCAGTGTTCGGAGCCTGTGAAGCACAAGGACTGAGCGGAACTAGGGGAAGTAGCACTGTGGGACGAGTCGCGAGACCAGACATCCGACGGCCTTCGGACTTTTCTTCTTTCTGTGGCGGCGCCGTGGCGACAGCGCCATCGGCGGTGGGGTTTTCACTCGTTACCTGAAGTGAAGGAATAGAGGAAAGGTCATCTCTTTGCTTAGGTAGAAAAATGTGTCTTCCCTCCGTAGGCTGCTTTGTGCTCTGTGTGAGCGTCACGCCGTGACGTCTTCACGAGATATGCGATCTGGAGAGTAGCCAAGCTCACGCTCGGGATAATTTATACCAAAATAGTACGCGCTCTTTTTGGGAATGCTAAGAGGACTTGCCGATCAACAAATATACAAGCGTCAAAGCGTCACTGACTGCATTGTGACACTCATGTTCACAAATTTAGTTTTCTACCATAGTTTTCTTTCAATATTCGATTTAATATATTTTACCGACGCATCAGTTGTGTTAGTCAATGATGAGAAAGATTCTATCCCTATTTAAGATACGATGCGAATAATTTCACCTCCACTGCTGGAAAAACAATGGTAAACACCTTTATTGAAGTGTTAATGACTTTCGTATCTTACAGACGCACTAGATTTGCACCCATGAAAAGGACTAAAATGCCCCCAAGATGATAAATTTTAGTACCTTTGGACACTTTCTAAAGGCATTGAAATTTAGCAACTTGTACCTACCTTTGTTTTTCCACTGTCGCCCCTCTTCCATGCGACAAAAATAGAACGTTTTGACCCAAATTGATAAAACCCAGGTAAGGAATTCCTGTTCTAGATTGTCCCAAGTTCAAACATCACTGATTTATTATTTATTTATAATATTGTTTGCCATTGATTTGGGTACTCTTGTTCTTTATAAAGACATGTATGTGAAAAGTTTACTTTTTAATTTTTTCTACGCCTCTCCAGACGTACGTATCAAGTGGAACGCTATTACGTGTTTTCGCTTGTGGCTGTCACACCTCCTATCGTCTTCTGCCGCCCCGCACCACACACCGGACTGACGATGATAAATTACAAATCGAGTAGAGCCACGTCTTCATTAGTCCAGGCGGTGTGGGCCATAAAAGTTAGCTCATAACCCCCATAGTCGCCATTGGAAAGATTATAGCCAATAATACCTACCAACGGGTATCACTGATCCGCTTTGAAAAGACGGATGACGACGCTTCCCCAAAACAACAACCTGCCGTCGTGTTGGTCTGGCAGTGCTTAATAACCGGACGACAGGAGTGTCCGGCGCGGGTGGCTATCGTCTCCCGGCCTGACCTTTATGCTCCTTCGTTTCGCACAAAATAGTAAAAGTCTAGCGGCGGTTCCACTTTGCCATAGAGGACACTATTTTTCCACGGTGACCGTCTGCGACCTTATGACCGCCAGCCCCCGAAACCGACCCATCTCCAGCCGGCACTAGATCAGTCTTGGCCCAGTGCCTGCGCGGACCCGCCGCGCGGCGGCGCCTGTGACGTGTCGACACTTAGTTACCATGCGTGTGTGTCCCGTCACTGGGTCAAGTTCACGGCTAGAGAGCTAGATAGAGTCAGTGACACATCGCGACCGCACAGCAGCGGGCGGACGAGGGGTGCCTTGCCTAGGCGCGGCAGGCGCCGGGGTAGGCCACCCTCCCGCGCGCACGCCTGGCGTTGCCTACCCGCCGGGCTGTGGCCGCAACAGCAGCAGGCTCGGCTGCAGCAGCTCGGCAGCTCGGCCTCAGAGGCCCGAGCGCGCTCCCCGCTTGTCTCATCATCGCGCTCATCGCCGACTGTTTCCGTCTGTTCCAGCAGCGGCACTGTGCGCCGTGGACCCGCTGCCAGTCGCAGTACAACAGCGCGGCCTGCCTGCCCCAGAGCGAGGTAAGCCCCCCAGCAGTACCTGCGTGTCGTGTCGCTTCGGCAGAACCCAGCGCACGTGCGCGCGTGGGCCGGCGCGCTGGATGCGCTGCTCTCCAAGCGCGCGTGGTGGGAGAGGGAGGCATTAGTCCAGGCGGTGTGGGCCATAAAAGTTAGCTCATAACCCCCATAGTCGCCACTGGAAAGATTATAGCCAATAATACCAACCAACGGGTATCACTGATCCGCTTTGAAAAGACGGATGACGACGCTTCCCCAAAACAACAACCTGCCGTCGTGTTGGTCTGGCAGTGCTTAATAACCGGACGACAGGAGTGTCCGGCGCGGGTGGCTATCGTCTCCCGGCCTGACCTTTATGCTCCTTCGTTTCGCACAAAATAGTAAAAGTCTAGCGGCGGTTCCACTTTGCCATAGAGGACACTATTTTTCCACGGTGACCGTCTGCGACCTTATGACCGCCAGCCCCCGAAACCGACCCATCTCCAGCCGGCACTAGATCAGTCTTGGCCCAGTGCCTGCGCGGACCCGCCGCGCGGCGGCGCCTGTGACGTGTCGACACTTAGTTACCATGCGTGTGTGTCCCGTCACTGGGTCAAGTTCACGGCTAGAGAGCTAGATAGAGTCAGTGACACATCGCGACCGCGCAGCAGCGGGCGGCCGAGGGGTGCCTTGCCTAGGCGCGGCAGGCGCCGGGGTAGGCCACCCTCCCGCGCGCACGCCTGGCGTTGCCTACCCGCCGGGCTGTAGCCGCAGCAGCAGGCTCGGCTGCAGCAGCTCGGCAGCTCGGCCTCAGAGGCCCGAGCGCGCTCCCCGCTTGTCTCATCATCGCGCTCATCGCCGACTGTTTCCCGCGTGGAAAGATTTACAGTTTGAAATACACTTGTGGACTGCAACTGAACTTTTGCTAGAACCGTAGTGTGAGCATCGTATTTGTACTGAAGTAATGTTGGTATTTTACAAACACAAATGTAATTTGCAAGTACAATGAAAGTGCATACGAACTGCATCTGGCATCATGCACTTTAAGTGTAGTTATTTAATAGAAAACTATAGTTAAATGACAGTCAACTGCAGTTTCACTGCAGTCAATCTAAAAAAAATGTGTAAAGATTTGGAACACTCCTCACTTTAACTGCAGTTTCGCGCACTCTATTTACAGATATTAATATAGTTCGATCTACAAGTTGTCTGTGTTTCGGACTACAATTAAACTTAAGTGTCAAATGATTCTAAAGTATAGTGTTAAAAATACCTCTTTCCCTCTCTGGGTCTTTCTTTCTCCCTCCTATTCAGTTATTTACCTCATATTGGTGATTTCAGTTATTACCTCATAGATATTACATTGGTTTTACCTCGGATGTTGGCGGGAGTTGAACCTCGGACTTCGGAGTTGGGAGCCCGGTACGCTGACCACTGAGCCACTGCGACACGATAGCTCTGGTGCCGCAGTAACCGGAAGTCATGCCAAGGGTCCCGGCCCGTCGGCCTACTTGTCTAACTACAGTTGAACTACAGTTTCTCTGTAATTCAACTGTGGCGATGTGGGGTTCCTGAGCCTTGTCCGTTTTTTTTTCGTGAATAAACCCGTTTATAACTATAACGTCCCCTTCCCTGGTCAATATCACGAATAACAGAATTTTGCCTAAGCGATTCTTAACCGGAAAACAACAGAACTTTCGTTGGCGTTAGGGTGAGGTACTTGGGTAGCGACCCCGCTAAGAGACATATTTCTGCTGTACGCATACGGACGAACCTCCGGTTGTTTGGCACGACTAAGAGGCAGGTAAGCCCTCGAAAGGGCGCGCCTAGGCTAGGCGACGTAAAACCCCACCGACCAAGGAGTCGACAAAGTCATCGCACAGGTGAAGCAACAAGCGAGTACTGTCGGTAAAAAGACGTTCTGAGTGTAGGTTGTCACATACAGTCTACTTATATTTTAAGTGCAATATATGCACAGTTCGAAACTGTAAACTATATTTGCGGTTTTCAGTCTAAGATAACAACAGTCTGATTGAAATATAACTGAAAAAAAAACTGCTTTGATGAATTGCAGCAGTATTGAAATCTAAAGTATGGCAGTTTTATACTTGAAAATTATGTTTAAGCGCAGTTTGTAACACGAAAATGAAATTCATTCGTAAGACTCAAATATCTGTTCTAAGACTGTACTTATAAGTACAGTTTTAACTTGTAGAGCGCAATGCAGCCAACATTGTAAAAGTAAAAGCAGTGTGACTGCTGTCATTATATAAATGGAATTACGGAACAATTAAGAGTTAAGAGATGCATAATGACTACAGTTAACCTGTAGTTTCAGATAGTATATCGCAACTGCAGTTCGATGTCTACAGTTTTAACTACAGTCATAATGCACATCCTTCCACGCGGGTTCCGTCTGTTCCAGCAGCGGCACTGTGCGCCGTGGACCCGCTGCCAGTCGCAGTACAACAGCGCGGCCTGCCTGCCCCAGAGCGAGGTAAGCCCCCCAGCAGTACCTGCGTGTCGTGTCGCTTCGGCAGAACCCAGCGCACGTGCGCGCGTGGGCCGGCGCGCTGGATGCGCTGCTCTCCAAGCGCGCGTGGTGGGAGAGGGAGGAGGGGGGTCAGTTTGTCTGCACGGCGTGTTGTGACGCCGGGCCGCCCAGGGGCCCGCGCCCGCGGCTGCAGCTGCATCCTGCGCTTCCTTGGGGGGGCTTATGTAATAAAGTGTCCGACCATGGGGACCCCCCTCCCCCTCCCCGCGCATCACGTGTGTAACCCACGCGCGGGCGCGCGCTGCGCGGGGTGTCTACGATGCAACAGGACGCACCGCGAGGCATATCAGGGTGCGCGCCCGAGATGATGCGCTTCCCGCCGCCCCGCCCCGCCCCGCCCATCTGCCGCCACGTGCTGAGCGCCATGCGCGGCTCCGCGGCCTCGGCCCGGCGGGCGCGCTGGGGAGCGGCTGAGGTGGAAAAGGAAATCAATTGAGTCGCCCGAGTGCCCTCCGCGACGGGCCGCTGGATCAATTGTCACGGGCCGCCCCGCCACGCTGCTCCACGCCCCACCACGCCCCACCACGCCACCCCACGCCTCACCACGCCACGCCTTGCCCCACCTCGCCCCGCCACGCCCCCGCTTGCAGTTCGGACCCTCCGCGTTCGTGTGATGAGTGCGGCTCGCGGCTGGTCCTGCGGCGGCGGTGTGCACCGGGGCGGGGCGGAGTGGGGCGTGGCGGGACGTGGTGGGGCGGAGTGGGGCGTGGCGGGGCGGGGGCGCAGTGACGTGACGTGCACTGCTGGTCACGGCCAGGGCCGCACTCTCGCCGGGCTGCGGCCACGGCCAAGGCTGCTCCCCACTGCAGCACGGCCCGACCCGAGCCCGGCTGGTGGGAGGGAGAGGGTTGTCACCCATTCATGTGGGGGAGAGAGGGGAGCGGGGGCAGCCTGACCACGGGGCCCTATTGGCGTGTGGTGGTGCGGTGTGGCCCGAAGCCGCGTCGTCGTGCACCTCTCGGTCGTACCTCGAAACGCGGTGCAAGTCGTTGCCGCGTCCTTTCGTTTTCGATTCCGTTGTTTGTTACACCTCGCTCGCGGCACCCGACGCGACGATCAACAACATCACGAGCGCTTTAGCGAAAAAATATTTTTCAGTGTGATTTAAAATTTACGGAAATTCCTTGGGAAATTCTGAACTAATTGTCAACGCAACTTGACCAACATTGTAAACGTGTTCGTGTTGCTCCTGAAATTTTCCCTTTGTAATTTTGCTCTATCAGATAATGATGTAAAGTAAAGTCCTTTTAGATAAAATGGCCAGACACACCTCGGCAGGACGACCCTCGGCCTCCATGAGTGGCCCCTCCCGCGGCCCGCCCGTGCGATTTGGCTTTAGCGCGGCGTTTGACAACAGCCCGGCCAACCACACCCAGAAAAGCGTGTTCTCAGCCCAAGAAATGTTCTTGCGGAATCGAGAACATTGGCTTGGGACGATGCAATTTGCATTGCCCCAAGCCAAATGTTCTCGATTCCGCAAGAACATTTCTTGGGCCGAGAACACGCTTTTCTGGGTGCAACCAGGCCTTCGCGAAATCAGCGGCCCCCTCGCCCCCCCCCCCTTCTCCCTTCCCCCTTAGCGAGTAGCGTGTTAGGCCCTAGCGATGCCCCCCTCTCCTCTCTCCTCCCCTCGCGCTGCGCTGCGCTCCGCCGCCGCGCCTCT